ATCTCATCTAATTAAATCTTAATTTCTTCATTTGTAAATGACATAAAAATTCTAACCTCATAGGTTGTTTTGGAAATTAAATTATGTGTGCAACAACATCTGTCTTACAGCAAATACCCTATAAATAGTAGGTGGTATGAATAGAGAGTTACAGTAATGGTAACCTGATTGGAATAGGTGGGCTGGCCTAATAAGGAAGGCATCATGACTAAGATGATCCTGGAGTGGTGCATTTAAAACTCTTTCCAATCCAATTTTTCTGTCACCTGCATACTCCCCAGCTCTTGTTTATTTTGGGCAACAAAGAAGTTGGTGGATTGCTTGCAATTGTCCTACAGTTGTTTTTTTTTTTTGAGACAGAGCCTCAAGTTGTCACCCTATGTAGAGTGCTGTAGCATGTCAGCTCACAGCAACCTCCAACTCCTGGGCTCAAGCGATTCTCTTGCCCCAGCCTCCCAAGTAGCTGGGACTACATGCACCCACCACAATGCCCAGCTATTTTTTTGGTTGTAGTTGTCGTTGTTTGGCAGGCCTGGGCTGGATTTGAACCCACCAGTTCTGGTGTATGTGGCTGTGCCTTAGTCGCTTGAGCTACAGGCACCAAGCCTATCCCACAGTTTTAAAAGAGAAAAACAGGCTCGGTGTCCATAGCTCAGTGGTTAGGGCGCCAGCCACATACACCAAGGCTAGTGGGTTCAAACCCCACCCAGGACTGCTAAACAACAATGATAACTCCAACCAAAAAAAAAAACAGCCAGGCATTGTGGTGGGTGCCTGTAGTCCCAGCTACTTGGGAGGCTGAGGCAAGAGAATCACTTAAGCCCTAGAGTTTGAGGTTGCTGTGAGCTGTGATGCCACAGGAACAGTTTGAGACTCTGTCTCAAAAAAAAAAAAAAGAAAGATATGTCTGTACTTTTTCTCCACTCTCCTTAACTAGTGAGTAAAGGATGTAGCTGTTCACAACTGTAACTTCCATCATCCAGAAAAATATGTTTTTCCCATTTGCAGTACCTCCCAACAAATCTGTAATATCCACAGTACTGATCAGTTCTGTCCACTCTTCCTATAAACTTTGTGTATTCTAAAATAACTGTCAATTTTTCAAATTTAACAGGCTGTTTCTTCCTATAACCAGGGATCAACTGTGTCTGAGGGCCAAAGAATGTACTCAGCATTGTCACTAATCTCTTGTCATAGAATGAGAAGCACATCATTTTCATATCATATTAAAAGGCATATAATTCATATTCCTAAAATAACTCCCTTTTCAGATCACTTGGAAAATCCTTCCTGGAAGCCATAACTGTTCTTGTTATGTGTATTTTCATTTTATGCAATTTCCAAGGGCTTGTGCAGAATGCAACAAAAAGTGTCTGACATCTTCCAACATGAGAACAGAACAGGAAAATCATTTTGTCCAATGAAGTCTGAACATATGATAAATAGGGAAGAGGAGAAAACAGAAGTTCACTGAATAAGAAAACACTTGGTCTGTGAAGTGGCTCACACCTGTAAGCTCAGCATTTGAGAGGCCATGGCAGGTGGATTGTGTGAGCTCACAGTTTTGAGACTAGCCTGAACTAGAGCAAGACCTTGTCTCTAAAAATAGCAAGGTGTTGTGATGGGCACCTGTAGTCCCAGGTACTTGGGAGGCTAAGGCAAGAGGCTTGCTCAATCCCAAAAGTTCAAACTTGCTGTGAGCTAGGCTGACAGCACAGCACTCTCCAGCACTCTCACCAAGGGAACAGAGTGGGACTATCTTAAAAATAAAAGCACTTGGGAAGGATCTCTGGGTAGAAAAATAGAGTTTTTGGCCAAAAAGTATAAACTGAAATGTTTCAAGCCTAAGGGAAGAGGGTCAGGAGGACAACCTAGCAAAATGAACAATTTGACATAGAAGGTAATTGAATTACTCCAGGTTTATAAAAAGTAGAGTAACAGGATTATAGAAGCAAGTCTTGAAAAAAGAGTTCCTGCTGCTCAGTAAAGGTAAGACTAGAAGCAAGACAGCAAACCAGGAGACAATGGTTGATTTAGCTATGGAGGACTAATCTTTAATATCTGGGGGTTTTTCTTTTTTAGTTCTACTATCTACTTTTTATAGTGTTTTTTTTTTTTTTTTGGTCTAATTCTGGGTTATCAGCTGGCTTATTTAGCAGCCATTGAGACTGCTGGTCTATGAACTCCTATACCCTTGAGCGTGTTTGAAGCCTGTCCTGGTCAAAAACCAGACAACCCAACTTTATCCCTCATTCCCTCATTCATGAATACATCAATCCATCAAATAGTAACAACCACTATCTTGACTAGGCTCTGAAATAATTTGGAAATGAATAAGACATAGCCATGGCCTATAAAGGGTTTATAAACTTCCGAGATAAACAAATTAAAAAAAAAAAACTTATATTCGACAGACTCTAAGTACTATGAGAGAGGAATGAACAAAATTCTGTGCCAGGGGTTGAAAACAGTGCAAACCAGGCTTCATTTGGCTAGCAAATGTTTTGTTTGGCCCACATGGTGTTTTATTTTGTTTGTCAGATTAGGTGCCAATACGCAAAAATTAGGACGTTTCACAAAAAAACCCAGATTCCTAGCTTCTGGTAAAAATAGAAAGATCTGAACATACTAGGCCAAATTTGTGCTTGGTGGTAACTGGCAGGAGCTGAGCAACAGCTGCCCCTTTTAGGCAGAGCATGAGCTCCCCAGTTTGCCACACTCCCTGCCACCCTCTAATTACTCTTTGACATTGAAGTCAAATATTCACCAGCTTGTGCTATGAATACTTTTATAATAGAGCTAAAAGTAAAATGATTTTTTTTTACTCAAATCTTTATTAAAACTTAAAACAGGCTCGGCGCCTATAGCTCAACCGGCTAAGGCGCCAGCCACATACACC